ACTCTTCAGGTGGTCTATACATTGGATATAACCTGTAATTGGCCTCACTGAGACTGCATCAATAAGGTGATAGGCTACATGTAACACATCACCCAATACTTGAACTTTTACACTGAAGAGAAATGCATCAGGGTATTGATTTATTCCAAGAGGAAAACCTTGTGTGTCTAGCTATAGATGGAATGTCAACAAGAGTTTTTCGTTTATTTGTTTTTAATATTTACATTTTAATGCCTATCATTTAGTCAACTTTAATTTAAAAAGAAGAGGATTTCAATTCTGAGAAAGCGCTTTTCTTTTAATTACAGCCAAATACTTCCCCTTGGTTTCACACCTCCTCTCATGTGACTTTTAAAAAGTTTTAGTTCCTGATAAATGTAAACTAAACCACATCGATTTTGGTTTCTGTCTCGATGCTGGACAGAAAGCTGCTTCGTAAATCTGTGGGAGGTCTATTTAAAATGTCAGTGATCTTCTGATGCGGTTCACACGAGGGACTTTTCTCTCAACTCACTTTGTGTATGAGGTGTTCCTTGTAGCTGAATGCACATAGGAGGAGAATGTATATAACATCACCCTCTAGTGGCGCTATGAGACACTTCACAGGCACTGAACATCTCAATATGCTTCCCTTTAACGCAAAGTATCATTCAGTGCTCAGTCATGATCACATCTAGATATGCCCCAAACATTCTGACACAAACATTAGGTCTTGCAATACAGGTTGGTATTGCAGCCTCAACAGTCTTCATCCAGGTTCAAATCTGGGATGGTGTGGTTTCAATATGTGGTTTGTGTCTTGGACCACAAGCAACCATAAGCTGGTGTTTAGTGCCACATCAATAGAGGCACTGCAACAGATGTGGCATAAGGTAACATAGATGACAAAAACAAGACAAGTGGGAAGGATGCAAAAAACAGTGAGTTAAGCGAAGTCACGTGCGATGCAAATAATACGAAACACTGCAAAGGATGAATGCTGGTGAACTTCCATACCCACATGAATGCTAATCATTTGTGCATTATACTAATAGGTAGGTAACCAAGAGCAACAAAAGTGATTATTGTTGTAGTTTCAAGAAACAGGGGAAAGAAAACCTTGAAAACCACAAGGGGCTGCAAGAGGAACTACGGTGCAGAAAGTGAATGTAAAAGTAAAAACCAAGGTGGTAGAAGGAGAGAGGCGCCAAAAGTTACAAAAAGGTGCCATTGAAGGAGCAACACTTTTTCTTGGAAGACTGAACTGTAAAAGGGCAAACAAATTTAGCAAAATTTCCCTTGTGGTTATAATTACCTTTATTTCTGGGATTTAGTGACGAAGCGTTTTTGTCTCCAGAATTTCCTGATACTGCCTATTAGCATACTGTGGTAACAACAACAACAACAACAAAAAGATCTAAATAGTACATTTTTGCGTTTAATCTAAGTAATGAAAAATGTCATTGTTTGTTAAAATTATAAAACCATTTTAAAAAACATAAGCTCCCATCATTCAGTGTGGAGAGGAGGCCATTTTGGTTCAGGGCCCCTGATGGCTCAGCTGGTGTCATTTGAGCCATAATGGAGCTTCACACTGTGAAACAAGCTTTGACAGTGTCTGGCTGCCACAAAACCGGTCTGGCTGGTGGGAAAACTGGTGCACTGGGAACACCCATCACTGTGAAGAGAAGAATGAAGGACTGAGAGACTGATGGAGGCTGGAGGTGGGAGGTGTTAGTAAGGGACGGGGGAAGGTAGACCTACCTGTTGCTTGAGGTCAGTGAAAAACAAATAGTCGATCACAAAGGAGAGGAAAAGAATAGAGAGAGGAGGGTAGAAGTGTTTAATGTTGAGCCACAATGCTCTATTCAATGATCCGTGACTAATCAAACCTGGATGTAAAGAAACTCCACCCACCCGCCATCACCTCCGCTCGCCACTCTTTGCTGCCCAGAGTCCAATGGCAAAGCATGACCCGGTAGGTTCTTCTTCTTTTCGCTTCATACTTTTATTTTAACAGAAATTCCATGCAGTGTGTCTCTTGGCCTGTCCTATGATTTCAGCCTTCCTTTAATCCACAGTAAAACTTCCTGCTTAACCAATACTCACCTGTCACTCTGAATGAAACTTTTTATTTGCTTCTTTGTTTGCTCTGTTTGGGTTTCATTGTGTTGTATTAGTTGTGAAGCTTCCAGAAATTCGAACAATGCAGCTCAGTGCAGAAACCACAGGCTGCCATAAGATGTTATTTTTTCACTATACCTGTTAGGCAGCCAGTGTTTCGAAGGGTCTCTGTCCTAGTTTCTGTCACTTTTACACTTTGCCTGAAATGCTTCCTTTTACTCTTCTCAACTCAAAAACGTAAACTTCGCATGAGTTAAGAAAAAAGTACTCTTTCCTGCTTTGTGACATTGTGTTTTCCGCATAAACCAGTTGGCCTTTCAATTGTTTATTTAGTCTAAGATGTGGGAGAAATTTCTCAACTGGTAAAGAAACACGTAATCCTTTAGTTGATCTGAACAATCTGCTGGACAACAATTGTTGCTTCTGTCTGTTCACACACCTGTAAAAATACACTTGATTTGGATATATTTACATAAGCTACTGGATTTGTCACAAATATGTGGTCGGACTTTGAATTTTCAGTTGACCGACTTCGTATTCAGAGTTGGTGTCATTGTTTGTTCGGAAGAATATTGTGAGACCAAACATAAAGACTTTCCCATTTTATGCCATTTGTTTTTGTAACTTTAGAGTACAGTCTTATTGTCTGAGTGCAATACTGACATTTTGAGTGTCATGTGAACCCTTAATCTTTTAATTTTTCTCGTATTTTTTGGTGATAATGGCCAACAGGCAAACTGTGCAATATGATCATGTGTGCTCAGCTGGGAAATATGATGAAGCTACACCTCCACCTTTTTCTGACTTCAAGTAAGTCAGGGTGTATGCTGCCTTTAGGTGAGTTTTGAAACATGATCAGCACGCCATACAAATGGTCTTATGAAACGTCTTTGTTAGTGAGTCTACAAGCAGCTTTCACAGTGCTGCCTTGACAGTTTAATGCTTTAGATTTTTTGACAAAGGATTTTTTTTTTTCACCCCAGTTTATGAAGGTTTACCCACAGTGAAGAATGAAGAAAGGTCAGAAGAGTTATGGAGAGGCCCTGGTCAATGGCGGTTGCGAAATAAGTCCAAACCTTAGGCCGCACAGGGAGCAGATTTGTTGTGGTTGCTTGTTGATGTGGCACTAATTTGTAGTGAAAAGACAGTAACCGACACTAACTGTATTTCTTGATTTCTTTTGTAACCTCATTGAAATTTATGGATTGTACATTGTAAACTATGGAACTGGCTGATACTCGTAACAAAATGTCGTTACAGAGAGTCCCAAACTTCCTCCTAAATAACAAAAACAGTATCTGCTTTGTATGTGACCTCATTCTAGTTTTGTAGTTTTGCTTTGCAAGATTTTCAGAAGGGATAGTAAATGACTTCTTGCAAACTTTACCCATCCTTGTAGGTTTTTCTGTAGATGCATAAGTGACACTGCAAACAGGTAACCGCGTTCAAACAAGTCTGATCACATAACATTCTGCATTTGAGAAATTTCCAGTCCCAAAGTTGCAATTCCACATGCCATGACACAGCAAGAAATAAGTAACTAGAAACATGAAGCTCATTGTTACGTGTGATTAAAGAAATAGTTTGGAAACTTGGGGAAATACGCTTATTTGCTTTTTCGCCAATAGCTAGACAAGAAGAATGATCCCACTCTCATGTTTTAGGTCAAATATGGTGTCTGACACCCTTTAACTTGGGTTAGTACAATGACTGGAAACAGGGGCATCTGTCCAAAGGTAACAAAAGCTGTCTACATGCATACAGCCCCTCAGATATTTCAGATCGGATGTCATCCAAGATTGAAATTCTCTTTTTTATAATGCATATGATGTTACAGTTAGAGGCAAATCAGCCTGTTCAAATATGGGAGTTTCTGGGAGAGGTGGGTGAGTAATTTTCCCTTGAAAAAATACCAAACCATGATTAACTTCCAGCATTTAGAAATTTCCTGTAAGTCGGCAGTATGTAAATTATATTACGTTTAAATGCATAATAATTAGTCGCACCATAACAAACTAAATCCATCAGCCTGTGCTATTATTAGTGCCTATAACATGTTGTCATATCCCATAAGAACATCATTTTTTATGTGTTTTATAGAGTCACAGATGCAAAAATCAACATTTACAAAAAGGGATGTTGAAAATATGAAAACAAAATGAGGCGACAGACTGTTCTGCACCCCAAAACACAGCTTTGATCACATTTAACTTGCTGGCTAGTTAAACATTATTGTCTAATTAAATTCATTCAAATAACATTGGTCAGCAATGAACATAAGTTGACTGGCTGGCTCACATTGTAGATGATTGTCCCACCTTGTCTAGGATAATTTATTTTAATCCATATACATCACTAACGCAAGGTGGCACAGTGGTTAGCATTGTTGCCTCGCATCAAGGTTACCAGTTCGCGTCCCGGTGAGGACATGCATGTAGTTTGCATGTTCCCCCCGTGCAGCGTGGGTTCTCTCCAGGTTCTCCGACTTCCTCCCACAAGTCCAAAAACATGTTGAGGTTAATTGGTGATTCTAAATTGTCCGTAGGTGTGAGTGTGAATGTGTTTGGTTGTCTGTTTTTAAGTGTAGCCCTGTGATAGACTGGCGACCTGTCCAGGGTGTCCCCTGCCTTCACCCTAAGTCAGCTGGGATAGACTCCAGCCCCCCTGCGAGCCTAGTGAGGATTAAGGAGTGTATAGATAATGGATGGATGGATAGATAATGGGTGAATGGATCACTAACCATCTACAAGCCTAATACCAGTATTGTTTCATTGTCTCATACTTGCTGACATCTTCAGAGGCCCTTTTCTCATGTACACAGCATTGGTTACTTCAGTGGAGACTGATTTCATTCCCTTGTCTCTGACGAACTGGTTTTGAGTGTCTGGATGACTGTTTAATCGGTCTGACTTGACCTGTGCATGCATGTCTGTGTGTGTTTTCAGCCACAATAGCTTAACTAGTATTGTTTTTGCCTCGTGAGTCGGTGTGTGTGTCATCATGGCAAAATCTGGTGATAGAGACGCCTACTGTAGCGGAAACTACCAAAAAGGTAGGTCTGAGTAGTTTGACTGCTTTTTATGTCTGTCTGTTTCTTTGTGGACAGATTTTTATCAACGTGATAGCGTAACAATTATGCAAGACGCAGTCACAAAGCTGAAAGGGTGTGTATCTGAGATCAAAGGGAAGTTTTAGGAAAGGTTTGGTCCGACTTATGAGCACTGATTGCTCATGTAGGCTGGGAAAAATGTTTTGTAAAAAAGAACACAGAAAATTTGCCAAATGTCTGTAAAATATTGATATTTTTAGATGATTAAATGCAGTCAAACAATGTACTTTTGCAGTCACACATTCTACAAAAGCAAATTACTATCTGTAAAAACACAGACCTTTTAGAGTTGTCTTTTACAGCAAGATTGTACATTTTAATAAGTACATTTTTCTTTCCTCTTTCTTTGTGGCACTGCCATGGAAATGTGCATGATCAAAAAATGAAATGCCTGAATGCCTTTCTAGGTATTTTCTATTGCGTCATCCTAGTTTTTAATAATTTAACTTCTACCATGTTCAAGGAAGGAGGAAGCAACAATATTTTAGAAGAATGAGACAATGCGGAATGACCCTTTAAGGTGTGGTAGAAACACAGGTGATACTATTGTTTTCTTGTTACAAGAATCTGACCAACCTGCACTCTGTTTAACATGAGTCAGTTTTAGCCAATTAGCTGAGGGTGCTGGTGCCAATCCTTCCAATCCAAAACATCAATTTTAGTTGCCTACCCTCTCCTTGTTACTTCTCACTTAACCTACCTGATTGATCCTATTCAGGACCCCAGACCATTTGGTTTAGGTGACAGGCATTGTTTTTTTATCTTTGAAGATTTTTTTTCAACATAAAAGGAGGGGCATTTGTCATGCATTTGGAATCAAAAATACGTCAACTAATCAGAAAATTTATTTAACATAGTGTCAAAGTCTATAGTGAATACCAACAAATATTTTGCACATATTTTTTCATGGGTCCAATGGACCCCGAAAGACCTTCTACATATGGCAACATGAAAGTCCTAAATAGGGTTAAATCCTTTGTCTGATAAGGCTACAGGGAAGTGTGGATTTTTAAAAAGGGCAGCAAAGATAACACTATGAAATCTAATCCTTTAAACACTGTTGCCAGGATACGTCACTCATGTCTTTGTGCGTTTGAGGCTGTTACCTTGGTGTGGACTCAAATACACACTTGATAATAATATTAGGATTGCATGGAGGACAATGGGTTAGGTGTTCAGTCTTGGCAACTACAAACATGGGAGTGTTTTGCCTTTCTATTGATTTTGTTTTTCGTGATATTATGAAACCTATGAGAACTGGCTGGCTGGGTGCCTTGCTTCTGAGGATAAATGGCCGATAATGGCAAAGAATTCTTCAAATCACATCATACTACAATAACTGATATATTTTTTCTTTTCAGAACACACCCCCTCCTCCTTACTACTCTGTTGCTGTCCACGCCCAGCCCCCTCTCAGGCCTTATGAAGAGGTGGTGTATGGCTTGGACCCCAGCCTGAAGCCCCCCACCCAGCCGCACTACATCCCCCAGTATCCACCACCGCCAGTGGTTGCTCCCCAAGTCACACAGTCTGGCACACGTGAGTGATATCTGCTGAATTTCCACGGGAATGCAATAAATGTAGGTGTGCAAGCAAAGCAACCGTCGAGTCAAAGTTGGTCATTAATGTGTGTGTTTCTGTTTGTGGTCTGTTTGTGCAGCCCGGAGTAGGAAAAAGAGATGCTGTCAGGGTAATACACAGTGGTACGGCGGGTCAGGAGCAGCCTTACTGCTGCTTGGTCTGCTGGCTCTAGCCATCTGGCTCGGAGGTATACTTTGTTTATTCATACAGATCACTGAACAATATCATTAATATTCATTTACTTTTCTAATTTATTCAGGACTCTTGTAACTACATGTAAAGTCTATGTTAGTCACAATTGTTCTTGTGCCCTTGTGGTGCTGATTACAATAAATTCGCTTGCATTATTTTGTTGAACTTTTTCTGATTAAAAAGACTGTAGGTTAAAATATGGTTGTGTTTTTTGCATAATGTATCAGCAATAAGCCACCAACAAGAACAACATCTTAGCCGAAAAGTTCCAAAAACAAAAGTTCATAGAATGATTATTTAAAAAGATTATTAGGTTAGAGTGTTTTTTCTCTTTCTATTGAGATGTGCTGGCTTTCACAAAATTTTAATACTTTAGCAAGTTTTTAGAGAATATTTTAAGGAATCATTTTCCCAACTTGGACTTTTGTATTTGCATAAAATATGTTTATGGAAATTGCATTACCTTGGAATGTATAAGCTGAATTAATTCAATAGAGATGAAATATTTGCTTTTATTCATCAAGTGAGGGAGAAAGAGGTGATGTTTTTATTTAACCTGCATCTTGCTGCTCTTATTTATTTATAGAATTTTGTGTTGGTTAATTAAGACAATAATGGTGCACTGTACGACTACTCATCCACACCCATTGCTGCCTACTCTATCCCTGACCACAGTTCGTTATGGCACCTCGACAACAACAGTGATCTTCCATCCGGACGACGATGATTCTGAAAGTGAAAATGAGCCTTTTCAAGAGCTTGACACCTGCCCCAACAACACTGTGCAATGTGATGCAATAAGAGACTGCCAACTGGGCACTGATGAAACAAACTGTGGTGAGTTGGCTCATGCGCACGGGCACAAATTATGTGTCTGGGTCTTTTTCCTGAACAGTTACTTGTTAATAAATGACAGGTCCAATATTCCCCAACCTTGAACCTTGAACAGTCTGAAAAAGGTTATAGATGGAGCAAGAAAGAGTAGGTGCAGCTTCATAATGCAGAAATGATACCCAGTGATCTTGGCAAACAAACCACAACACCCTAAAATCCAACAATTTATCATGCTATTAGATTTCTCCAAAAGTAAGCAGTTAACACAAACACAACCAACAATGACAGATGTTCTCTTAACCCACTTTTACAACACATATTAATGGTGTATTAGTCAAAAATGTGATCTTATGAATTCATAAAATCTTGATTTTAAGTATCTGAAATGCTCATGACAAACAGATTTACTTTACTCACCTGAGCTGCTGAAGACTTTGTATCACCTCTATCCAGACATGTGTGGCCCTGTCTAGAGGAGGAAGCAGACTAAACTCTTACCAGAAAGATCCACCCTCTGACACCCACACACCCACACACCCACATACCTTAACTAAACTGGACTTATATGGTGAAGGCATTGACAGTTGACATCCAAAAGGAAACTCTCTAAATAAAACACACACAAGAAGATTTTGAACTCTCTTCCATAGGTTTGGTAATGACAACAATATGGAGGGCACATATAATTAGGTACAATATCAAGCGTTCAAATTTAAATGCCCACTAATGATATTAACAGTAATGTTATTCATGTAGAGCCAGGAGATTATGTAAACTGACATAAGACAGTGTAGCCAAGTAAAGCTTTTATTCATATAAGCACCAGAACACAAACCTAAAACTGAAAATTGCAATCATGTCAGACAAAACCTGATGCAGATATAAAATTGTATTCATTTTTTTTTTGTCCCTCTCCATGTCTTCCCCAGTGCGGTTTGGTCGGGACAGCAGTCTGCAGGTCAGGACAGCTAAAGATGGCCGCTTCCTACCAGTCTGTTACAGTAACTGGACTCAGAGCTGGGCCAACCAGGTCTGCACTCAGCTGGGATTCAGAGGGTAAAGAATCATCACTTCTACTAACTTATTTTTGTCAAAGATGATCTAAAGTGTGCTTAACATCATTTTAGGGCAGCAGTGCTTAATGTGAAAACCTACTTTGGATCAGCATTGCATGGTCAAAATATTTCATATCATTTCTCACTCAATCTCAGACCCAGAACAGGATTCTTGAACGAGTGATTGATCTCGTCATTTTTCCAGACACATTTCCAACAAGCAGCTGGTGAACATGTGCACTTCTATCTCCAACCTGTAATTTACCCACTGAGTTCCATCTAATTTCTCCTCACCTGCTGCTGTGTATTTAGGCTTGAATTGATTCTCCACAGGCTTCGCTGAAGTGTCTCAGTGTGACAGAACCAGAATGAGTTTCCAGACCCAATCAGGCATTGATTTGACAAAATGGTCTCTGTATGTGCAAGTTTACTTTCTTCAGCTTTCTGATCTGCCTCTCCCTGTGTCTGCAGCTCCTATGCCAGCAAAGTGATTAAGTCTCAGGAGTCTATTGGTTTGGTACTGACCAGCGGATTGTCTTCCCCTATCCAGGGTCAGGTAGAAGTCAGGTATATATCTAATCAAATGAAGTCTATAAATTAATGTTGGTAAACTGCATGTAGTCATGTTTACTGACACGTTTTTCTCATTGTGGCATTACGTAGTCCTTCCTGTCCAAACCAAGAGACTGTCTCCCTGCAGTGTATTGGTAAGGAGCCTCCATCTGTTCCCACAGTCATGTGTCACACACAAGCTTGTTTTCTCTCCTCTTTGTTTCTGTCCCTCCCACACAGTAAACACAACTGCACTTCCAGCCATTGGCCACCACAAGATCTACAAATGAACGTTTCATTAGTATGACAGCTACTGAGTTACTGTATTGGGTTTATCTGAAATCAGCTCTTGCCTTCTTTTAATCATAATTCTGAATTCAATTTAGAGACCCTACCCATATACAGGAGGTGATCTATGATTGAAATTCAACAGTGAGAAAAAACAGAGATATTGCATATTACAATATGGTTAAAATGAAGTGTAGCCTGTGAGCTAGTCAAAGCATATGCTTGTCGTTTGCTGTCATGCCTACTGGCAAAGCACCTACCTACCACTGCTAACACTGCTGCTCTTTTATGCTGTTGCTTTACATAACCCTGAACATCCACTTGTTGGCTCTGAGTCCAATTTCCACACCAGTGTCAGAGCCTGAATGGTAAACATCAAGCCTGTACATAGCCTGTAGTCCCACACTAGTTTATTCTATCGGCGCTAGGAGCCTAAGTATAAAAAAAACTAAGTTCAGTGCAATGAGCTGTATCAAATTAAGCTTCTCATATGTGTACAAGCACAAAACAAGTGACTCATTTTGTTTGTTAAAAATTCCAAATGGAGAGAATCCTTGATGTGGAAAACAGTTTTGTAAAGTAAAAACACAATATAATCATTCTGTCACTCTTGTTTCAATGAAACCCATGAAACAAAATTGCAGAACTTTGTTTTCTTTGTTTCTTTTGCTACTGTACAGCACCTTACACTGTTTCTCATTCCCAGATTGTGGTCAGCAGCAGTCCACAGACCGGATCATTGGGGGCAGCATAGCTAAGACAGGCCAGTGGCCTTGGCAGTTGTCGCTCCACTTCAGAGGATCCCACGTCTGCGGAGGAGTCCTGATCTCTCCTGATTTTGTGCTCACCGCTGCCCACTGTTTCCCGAGGTGATTGACACAGACAGTGCCCGAGCAATATTTTTTACACTTGAGTATTTTCCGTTTTTATCTCTACTTCAATAAACTTGCTTGTTCTGAATCCACATATTGCAATTTGAGAAAATTATACTCTTCAGCTTCAGTCCTCAATGCTGAACCGATACATTTTCTAAGTCAAAATGCACAGTGCGGTTACAATGCTGAATATATGCCATTGCTAAATCATTATGCTTTTCACCGAACGACGTCTTTGTGTCCTGGAAGCAGCTCTTCATCCCTCTCTGCTGAGAACTGGAAGGTGTATGGTGGAGCAGTCTCTCTGAACAATCTGCCTCAGCCCTACACAGTGAAGAAGATCATACTCAATGAGAACTACAACCGCAAAACTAATGACCAAGACGTTGCTCTACTCAAACTAACATCTGCAGTAAAATTTGATGGTCAGTCACATCTTCAGTTGATTAAAACTGTGTTTATGTTTCCATAGCTTTCAAACCAGTGGCTGTGGTCAGGCTTTAATCCTCATAGGCACATTTGTAAATGCCATGGTGGAAAGTAAACCTCCATGCTGCAAGCAGAGACTCAGGAGAGGGTTTCAATGTGACTGCCTTGATAATACAACAAAAACTGTTAATGCTGGGAGGTAGTATGTATTCAGAAGCAGTATGTAGTGCTGCCAGGTAGGGGACTGAATAGCTTGAAAGGCAGTCCTTCTGCTGGCTGACCCAGGTTTAAGAGACCTGTGGCAAGAAACATTCACTCTCCAGTTGAAGCATCCTTGAACAAATCACAAAATTTCTACAACCTTAAGAATTTTTTGCTCTCTGTAGCTGCAGAAAATAACAGCCCTGTGAAGATAAATAATGTTTTACATTACTAATAACATTACTCAGTGTTTCTGTGGTTGCATTAATTTACATTTCGATTTACATTGTTTACTTCTTACATGTAGAGTGACTTAATATGTGAGAACATCTAGCCATTTGTTTATCCATTGTAAACATATATGTGTGTGTGTGTGTGTCTGTTTGTGTTTTTACTTCGCAACACAATTTTAATTTTATATATATATGCACACACACACGTATGTATGTATGTATGTATGTATGTATGTATGTATGTATGTATGTATGTATGTATGTATGTATGTATGTATGTATGTATGTATGTATGTATGTANGTATGTATGTATGTATGTATGTATGTATGTATGTATGTATGTATGTATGTATGTATGTATGTATGTATGTATGTATGTATGTATGTATGTATGCATACTGCCCAGTGGGTAGTGACTGCCATGGAAATGTTTTGCTCTTTGTGTTGAGTCTGAGCTTTTAAAGTCTGTGCTGAGTCCACAGTCATACTGGTAATCTGATTTGCCCAGCCCAGTGTGTTTGTGTGCATCTGTCTCCAGTACTATCCTTTTGGACACACAAGGCTGCTGATCTGATGTGTTTGCAGAAGTTAAATACATTTCTTTTGTGTCATCTAGATAAAGTTCAGCCAGCTTGTTTGCCAGTTTCTAACCAGCAATTTCCCCATGGAACCAACTGCTGGACATCAGGTTTTGGCACTACTGAGGCAGGTTCAGGTAAGCTGCAATGTGGGGCCACTGAGTATGATAGAAACATAACAAAGAACATATGTTTGTTCTTTTATATCACCATTGCATACAAACAGAAAGTGTAGTATTTACATGCATCTACATGTATTACCATAAAAGTTATCTTTTTTTCTTTTAGTACTTTTTGATTGTTTGAGGGCAGTATGCTTTGGTCAAGGGATAGCTAATTGCTGTTAACTCAGAGTACTCCAATAATACTACAAAAGATTCAGGTATACCTAAGTATAAAGTTTTTCTTTTGAACACAAGTAGACAGCCATTGTAAGGTGAACACATACAGTGTAAGGACAAGTAATATTAGATCTCGGATTTGGTGCACAAATTGTTCTTTACTATGTCAAAAGGATGGATTACAATTGGAAGCAAGAATACAGTGAGACCAGACAAACAAATCCAGAGCGGCAGCTGCTGGGAAGATAGCCATCAGAAGAAGTGCAGGCAGGCAGGCAGGCAGGCAGGCAGACAAGAGAATAAAGTTCAGACCCTGTAAATTAACACAGATGAGCCATCAGAGACTCACTAAGGTCTGCTCTCCATAAAATAATGTGCATAGTAAATGGGAAAGATGTGTGTAAAACTCAATAGTACTGACTGATGGGCAGATGCAGGATGACGGATCTCAAATAGCAGGGAACATACAAATTTACTGTGATTATTCAGATAAATTGGAGACAAAATAGGGAAGAAATAAAGACTGTGGCCAAGCTGTTGCAATGTCAGTACAACTAAATGTCAACTTCAAAATATAACTTTCATTCATCTAATATTTTGACATATTATCTCACCCAGTTGTTAACCAATGACTCTTTATTTTCTTTCCAAAAAAAGACACTGTCTCCAATGATCTGATGGAAGTGAGTGTCAACATCATTGACAGACAAGTGTGTAACAGCCCAAAAGTGTATGAAGGCGCAGTGACCAGGAACATGATCTGTGCTGGGAACCTGGAAGGAGGCAAAGACTCCTGTCAGGTGAGCAGGACACATTCAAGGGATAGTTTTATAGTATTCACACTGAACATCCAGCCACCTTCAGAGAAAAACACGTTAACTAAGTACAAATGATGTTTTCTCAGGGTGACAGTGGCGGACCTCTGGTGTGTCGGGGAGACAGCCGTTGGTTTCTGGTGGGGATCACCAGCTGGGGAGCTGGCTGTGGGGCGAGGAACAAGCCTGGTGTTTACACCAAAGTCACCAGTGTTCTGCCCTGGATCTATAGCAATATGCAGGTAAAACTGCATGAAGCAAAAAAAAAAAAAAGCTCAGCTAGCGTAGGAATGCGTTGTTTGATAATGAGATGCTGAGGATGCCCATGTTGTCACTATGTTAACTCCTCCTTTGCTTCCTGCAGCGACCATGAGAAGCCATGATGCCCCCCGGTCTGCTCCCCCGCTTCCCCAGTGAACTCCGCACTATGAAGTCATGAAAGAGATGAATGGATTTATAGAAGAATGTATTATGAGAAGACATTGCAGACAGAAAGACAGACATATGAATGGTTCATGCTGGCTTGAATGAGTAGCAGCATGACAAAATGCACAAGTTGAGCACAATTACTGCCCCTGCATGTATATTCATCCAATGTCCCACGATGTGTTTTACACTCCCAAAACCGGATTATTGATAAAACTAATTAATGCACTGACTTCAGTCTTGCATTCTTGATTTTATTTACTATCACTTGGTGCCTCAGTAATACAGCACACAGACAGCATGCTCAGGTCTACATTTATGATAAACAGACTTTAAAAGCAGCTGAGCTGTCTCTCACTGCTTCTGTTGTGTGCCAATGAAAAACAGTCAACTTGACTATGATGTCTATGTGGTTTGATAGTGATAATCCTTTAAAATAATGAATGATTAAAGAGTTGTGGCTTTTTTCCCCTCAAGAGACACATCTCAGGTTTTTCAATGTTGACCATTGTTTACTAAATTAAAATTTAAAAAAGACACTTTATGTATTCACTTTGTGAAGAAAGAATGCAGCGTGACCCTTCACTGAGCTGGGACTCTGTGCACTTAAACCTCCCCTTATGCTCACACTGTGAATTCAGAAATTGTTTCCCTTGCAATATGTCATTGTGTGTTTTCTCTGTGTCATATTTATGTGTTTATTTTTTCTTTCTATGGGATCACTGAGGATTATAATAAAATAAAGATCAAGGAATATCCTTATTGTGGAATTGATTAATTGGCACAATATTGGGGTGTCTATGGTGAGTGTGTGAGAGAGGGGAGAGAGAGAGAGAGAGAGAGAGCGGAGACAGAGCGAGAGAGAGGGGAGCGAGGAAGCAACAGAAAACCCACAGAATAAGCAGTCACTCCAGGAGTCACATTGTTATCCATCACATCTGTTTTTACAGGAGAAGTAGATGTGAGCAGTGTGCACATACTGACAGATGAGAATACTTGAAACAAAAGACCTGTGAGACAAGCTGATTGATTTTTTTTTTTTTTTTCGTGGGTGAATATCAGTTCGTCCGCTGGAGAAACAAGAGGTAAGTTGAAGAGCGCACATTTGATGTCTTGGATTGTGTTATTGTTTGCTATATTTTCGGAGGATTGGAGACAGGGGTCATAATAGCCTCTGAATGGAGATGGATTAGAAGGCAACCCAAATTTATTGGATTTTTTGTAGCTAATTTTAAGTACAAATGCCAGAACCAATAGAGGGTGTAATCACTCGGATTGTCAGTGAATTACGTAAATATCTAATTGATATTTTTTGACGCCAAAACGTGTGATGTTTGGAATATTTTTTCGCTTCACAGCGCTTAAAGTGGTCTCAATAACTCACACAGATACCACGTAAATCGCTAGTTGTTATTTACCTCGCTCTAATATACCAAGAGGGTGTGTCTGTTGGCACTGATCGCAACAACCTGCACTGGTTTGGCGGCAAAACATGCATGCAAATACGCACGAAAGCACGATTAATTCACTTTCTTTGACGCGCCTTGTGACAGTTAAGTGAAAACCAAACACCAGATATCGAGCCTAATGTCACTGCTGTGGTTGTTTTTCACTGAAAAGGGGATGAAAAAAAACGCAAGGCGGATCATGGTTTTCTGTAACAGCAGATGATCCACAGGTTGACGGACGCACAAGTGGATGAATGCGCAGACGTCACGCATCGGATGTTGAGATGTACACTGTGGCAGCTGCTTGTAATGAGGCTGCCAGTCAGGTGATATCTGGCTGAGCCATGTCGGCTGCTGGTTTACATCATAATGGAGAGGTTATCAGTGCGTTACTGAGGTCGGTCAATGTCGTCGGCGCGCAACCTGGACAGATAACAGAATTTACAATCGCCCTCCCTCTATAGCTATTTAGACATGTACAAATGGATGAATTAAAATGAGTCGCATTTCTGCTGAATAACTCTGACTTCCCTGCCGTGTGCCACACCCCATGTTCCTGTGGGGACTCCGGCTGTCCTTGTGCTGTTCATGTGAGTCCATCATCTTAACCTGTTTCTCCTTCGGCGCCAGAATTTTCAGTTGGAGACAGTTACCATGGCGATAACAGGACACGATGGAACCACGCACATTGTTGTCATGGTGACGTAACAACATTAGGATGGCAGATACAAAGGGGCCAAGTCGTGGAGACCTGTGGTGTGACCCATTTAGCTGCCCTACATTTGACTGATAATGGAAATCATAATGAATAATGGACAAGTGGCTTTAATTTGACCCTGGAACTGATTTGCTTATTGTATGAAAATGCTCAGGAGCCTCAGGGTCAAAGGTCAACACAGTGATGCCACTACAGAAACAGCAATCGGACAATAAAGCAACCACAGCAACACAGGGAGAACAGTCACATGGTCATGATACTATTTGAAATATGGCTTAGTCCCTGTGTAGCTGTGCACAAGACAGACCACTGCTAACATCAAGGACTCAGACAGATGTTGGTGGGATGTGATCGCCTGTAAAACCACATACAGTTGACACATTGGAATCTGGTGACCTGTCCAGGGTGTCCCCTGCCTTCGCCCTAAGTCGGCTGGGATAGGCTCCAGCCCCCCGGCGACCCTAGTGAGGATTAAGCGGTGTATAAATAATGGATGGATGGATGGATGGATAGATAATGGATGGATGGATGTTTCTTCCATGACCTTGTCTGTTTTTTTCCATAATTCAATAGACAGTAATTTCAAGCATGTCTGAGACCCACACATTTGCAAACTTGTGTAATGTCAGTGGTTACGGTCATAATAGCTTTCGTGTCCCTGTGATTGTTGGACACGCTTCTGCCCTCGTCTGCTTCACCGTCTCACTGCTCCAATTGCTTTGACTTAATCTTGTCTCTCTGATCGCCCTCCTGTTTCTTCCGTTCCCTCATCAAACGTTCCTGACCACGTTCCCTGACCTTTCTGTTTAGTGCTCCGTGCATTTTATACTAGAAATGTCACTATCATACAACAGACTGCCCTTCCAATGTCCTCTCCCCTCAGACGGTGTCTCCTCTGAATGCCCTTCACCTGCGTTCCCCAACCAGACAGTGTTTGTCCCCGTCTGTTTGGCTCCCATCCTCACTGTCTCTCAGCCTGTCCTTTCTTTGCCCCCACATTACAGAAAACGGCCTCCCTGCCTGTTATTTTGTTGTCCTTCCCAACAGATAGAGTCAGTTTGCCTGCCCTTTTCTTGTTCTCTCCTCTCAGACAAAAGAAAGCCTGACTCTGGATCTCAGTATTGCCAAACAACAGTGCAGATAAGGAGCAGAGGCGACTGCTCAGGTGCCATGTATAATACTCTGGGAGAGAAAAGCTGGCACAGAACAGCAGCTACATTACACAGACCAATGCCATGCTGCCAAATACTCAAATGACACTGACCCACTAACGGTTAAAAATACTACACTTCCTAACAGAGATGTGATCTGACAAAAATTCTGTTCTTGGATGACCCAGTAGTCAAGTTATTTATTTAAGTCCCGGGTTCAATTTCTGGTCAGTCAGAGCCTCACGTCAGGTCATTTCCTGCTCTTTCTCCTCATATTTCACTGCCACTACCTAATAACAGCAAAAAAATGTCCCTAAAAAATCTCCCCAGTTTTTTTTATCCTATGTGAGATTCAAAACAGAAAAGTATGTTTTCTGCAAATATAAAATTAAGCTAAACTGATAAATTCAGTGAAGGAAAACACTCCTGTATAGAACTGAATTTAGCAAGAGTGTCTGCACACTAACACTTTCATACTTTATTTGAAAAAGTACCCCAGCTTACTCATAAACATCAAACAAAACTATTCAAAAATGTTTACCAATGTAACGTCAGAACTACTCAAACCTTTTAAAAAGAACTGACCACTCAGTTTTGGAAAACCATGCTTGTTGAAACTATCACAACGGATTTTGTTGTCAAGAAGGAAGAGAATCTATTTAATATTCATTTTAGGACAATTGCCGATCTTGCAGTACTGCCTTTCTGGATATCTGGTCTGTATTCTCATGAAGTATGTATCAATCGCAGTTGAATCCTTTGGACAGCTATTTAAATGCAATTTGATGTCAAAATTGCGAGAACTATGGTTGATAACTAGGGTAGAACTTATTTCAAATTGGGTTTTGTGTTGCACAAAGGACTGCTTTCTCTGTCTTTACAAGAGGGACAGGTGATGCAGTATGAACTGACATCTTGTGTTTGGAGTCTGACTGATTGCTTGGCTTTCAGCCCTGTAATATCTTTGGTTCCTCCAGGAATTGGCGGACATCGTCCAGTTGGCCCTGATCACTTACTGTCATATCTATGCAGTTAAGTGTGTTGGTAAGATGAGAAACAAAAGAGTATCAGATTCCTTCCCATCATCCACCAATGGCTCAATGTTTCCTTCCAACTTTCTGTCCTTTCATTAGTCTCAGATGTACAGTAGTTTAACACTACCGGTGCAAGACAGCATCTGATGAACACACATTATTCCATATTGCTGTTACTAAATATAGTGCCAAAGGGGTTGAAGAAAGTTATGCAAACACATTCTGCAAATATATAAGTAGATCATCATGCACTATAGATAGTTGCACTTTAAGGGTTCCCTATGAAGGATTCAACCTCTAGCAGTCCCCTGTTTTGCTTATATTTTAAACACACATGAGAACACACGTGCCCACACATGCAGGTGACAGGATACACATTCCTTCCAACGATTTTACATTATTCCACTAATCCACATGTGGAAGAAATCAAGCACCAAGAAACACAGCACTGACAGTGAAGAAGACGATAATTAGCAAATAATTATAGATGTAAACAACCTGGATTTAAAAACATTTAAAAAGGTAAATGAACATTTAAAAGGCAGATAAGAGCTAAATGATTCACACAGTGCATATTGGTCTTTAGCAATGTATGTAAACAAAACTTTTGTTGGTTAACATAAAAAAATTCCATGCTGCACCTTTAAGTTTTCCATTTTTAGTGTATACTGAAGCCTTTTACTTTAGCTTTTTCTGAAAACAGTGATAGAAGGGCAAGTGTGCTGGTTAGCCAATGGAGGGTTTACTCAGCAGTCGACATCTGTTCGAACATGATTTCACTTCTCCATCCATCTTTCTCTATTTATTCCCGATTCCTCTCAGATAAATAGTGGTTTTTGCACAAGCGTAGCAGCGTGTGATGATTGAAAGTCGAGGAGGGTAAGAGGGGTGAAAGGCAGACTTCTGTTGCTGTTGAAAAGGGAGATGAAGGTGGCTCACGGTCAAATGCACACCTATCACATACCACCACTGTGATTGGCAGCTCTTCGCAGTGAGATTTTATCCTCAGTAAAGCTCTATTGTCCTACAAATGAACCCTTGAAGATACATATACATATACAGTATATATATATATATATATACAGCTCTCCATAATTATTGGCACCCCTGGTTAAGATGTGTTCTTTAGCTTCTAGTAAATTCATTTTTTTTCTAAATAATATAGGACCACAATGAAAAAAAGAGGAAAATTCAACCTTTAATTCAACTGCATTTGTTCAGTGTGAAAAAAATCCCACATTAAAAAATAATTCTTTTACATCATGTGTGCCACATCTATTAGCACCCTTGATGTTAATACTTTGTACAACCCCCTTTTGCCAACAATTCATTTGAGTTGAGTTGAAGGTTACATTTTTCAAAAATTTTCAGTGTGAGAGTATGCTTCTGCAATAAAAACTGAATTTATTTAAGGCTTTTAACACATCTTAACCAATAATTATGGAGGGCGCCATATATATATATGTCAGATATGGAAAGAAAGCCCTGATATACACAGCCTAGACTAACTACAATATCTATATTTAAGGTTGAATGTCTCAGCTATGGCTGTTGTAAAAACTGTCACAGATAATTGTAAGCAATTGTGTCGAGATGGAAATGTCAAATTTGCAATGGCAGGGAATGAGTCAATATTTAGTTGTTTTTTTTGCTTGCAACCCTCAAAACAGCTCATTCTGAATTGAGTGGGGAAAAAAAACAAGTAATCTGTGTTTGCTCAATTAAGTGAGCTGGGTGACAGAATAAACATAGATGACCTGCTTATTGACTGCTTGTCCCAGTTTTCCCGCCTGCTGTACGAGAGCTGGATCGGTACTTATTAATATGTCTGAACTGAACGTAAGTGATGTACAGTTTGGGGCCAGCCATCAATCATCACCTTTGATGTGAACAAAGATGTCTCTCTCAAGATGTGCAAATGTGAAAGACATGCCTTCAAAGCCTAGATTGTCACATCTCATCATTCACATCTACGTTTGGTTTTAACCAGACTGTGAAAGTGCCACTTTGAATGCATCATAATCGTCTTAACATGTATGTGGTGATGGTTAAAGAGACCTTGAGAAAAGACATCAGAGGTTTTTTTTGTCTTGACTGTAAAGGTGCTACTGTAGGGAAAGTCCTCATATAAAGAAGAGCACTTCTTTTGTGCCTAATATTTCTAAATGAGAATTTTAAAGCGAGTCGCAAAAGAGCTTCTGAATTATTCTGATTTGTTCTCACTGATTGTAAAAAGCTCTGTGCACATCCACTCAAAAATAATCAACGATAACAATGAAAATTGGATTGTAGCAAACTATTCTTGCATGAAGCTGCTCATTAAACTACACCTTTTTTTTTTTCTGTCCAAGGTCACTTTGGGTTCAGATGCCGTTAGGCTAATGGATGCCATAGCTGCCTCTGTTCCTCAGTTGTCATCTTGTGTCACATTATTTCACAAATGTCCTAGTTATTAGTGTGCAGCTCAAATCTATTTGAGGGCTCACAAATCAAATAGACAGAGTCCCAACATACAGACTGCAACCGTGCAGGAATGCTGCAGTCGATGCCTCTGTTAATGAGTATAATGGGCTCATTTAAGAGCACTATGTCCTGAACAGCAGATGCAGCTGAAGACAGAAAAACAGCCAGATGGGTAGATGGGAATAAATTAATCCAGTCAATCAGGGAACCAATCATTGAGATAGACATAAAGAAATAAAAGCATGCAGGCAGGCAGGTTGCACTCCCAAGCAAAACTTATATTAAACCTTTAGAGTTTTTAAGGCTCAATACAGAAGCTTCTGTGGTTTGTACAGAGAATATGTACATGTTGAACTGCAGACATGTTCTATGAATTCACAGTGGTGCGTAGACATGCTTCACCAAATGCCCTGATGTCAAATCATGTTGTCCATCTGTATTCAGCTACATTGAACCATTACACTTGATATTCAGTGTTAGTTTATTTGATGACTCCTGAAGATTCAGACCTCTTGGTAATCTAATGGGGAATTAGACTACTCATGGGTATTGATTTATGACTTTTTGTGGCCAACAAGTCTGGCCTTGTACAACTGTCAAGCTATTCATCTGCTGAAATGATAGAAACAGAAAACAGACAAAAAAAATCGACTTTGTAGGAGTTTTAAAATGTGAGACTGTAGTCTGTTCAAATGTCTCAAATTAAAAGTGAATTGAATCCAATCAAATTGTGTAGATGTCACAAAGTGCATTTCATTCATTGAGTGCTTTCATTTGCCAAAACATAATCAAAAAAGAAACATATATGTATTACCAGGTTTTCTGATATTATAGAGGTACAGATTAGAAAAAAACCTGAGTATTGTGCAGATACGTTTAATCAGAACATTTAATGTTTAGCTGTGAACATTTTGCGGATAGGTTAGATATAAATGGTTCATTGCCATACTAATTGAAACAAGACTGAGAATCTCCAGTCATGCTACTGACCCTGAAACTTTGTCAGAATGGTGCTTTAAAGTAAATACTACAGTCTGAAAGCCATCCTGTTCACAATGACAACTTTAGCTTTAACCTGCTGATGTGTAGTACACGTAAGGTTTATCATTTTGACAAACTTAGGTTAGCATGTTAAAATAAATTAAAAACAAAACAAAAAAAATGACACAAATTCAAGAGTTATGCCAGTATTCAGTCATAAACCAACGTTTTGGATAAACCATTTTTGCCTGATAACAGATTTAGATGAAAAGTGGACGTGAATATGTGAACTAAATTTTATGGTTGTGTATCCAACAGTTGGATTTCACATTAGAGCGCAAATACTAATCTGGTGACACAAGAAGAAAGTGTTTTGGACAGAATGTAGAGATTTCTGTCTATTTAAGATGCACAAACACCTATGCATGCATTTATTTTTAGCATGCTAGACAACATATCAATGCAATGTATCAGTATTACAATCATGTCACAGCTGCAGTTCACGTAAAAAGTTGCTACCAGAGAAAGTGCAGCACACTACAAGGGTCCTTAAATCACCGTACTTGCTTCCTGTGTTGTAAAATTTTAAAATCCTGATACCTGTCTAAGAGAACTAAATAGTCTCAGGCCTAAATGTACATCGGATTTATTTGTATGTTATGAAGCATCCAGACCTCTCAGGCCCTCTGGGACAGGCTTACTCAGTGTTAGGATTAAGATACAGCTTTTAGTTTTTACGCTACCCACTTGTGGAAGAAGCTTCCTGAATACCCAAGGTCTGCTAAAACTGTCAAGGCATTTAAGTCAGGTCTTAAAACATTATTGTTTGGTTCCAATAAAGTACACAAATTCTTTAAACATTTTAATACTTTCTATTTGTTTTTGCTTTTGTTTCAGTGTCATCTGTCTTTCAAATGTTGTTTTAATGTCTCTTTAATGGGTTATTTATACCTCCGCGGTGTCCACAGTGACAGCCAATGGCTATGTTTTCGGGTTGTCCATCTGTATGTATACATCTGTCTGGCCCATTCTCACAGATTTGATGTCTCTTGGGGGCAATTTCTTTAAATTTGTCCTAAGCGCTTAAGTAAAAAGCAACTGGACTTCACAAGGGTTCTTAAAGACAAGACTCAGAGGAATACGTTAGAACTGAGGAGGTTTCTACTCGTCAGTTAGAACTGAGGAATCCTCTTGGATGAGAAGTGAAATGTCTCCAGTAACCAAATTTTGATCCACCTGCCTTTTACTGAAGGACTTTGGACAAATTTGAAGAAATTCTCCCCAAACCTTCAAGAGATATTTAGTCTATTTAGCACAAATGTTTACTTGACGAATAAGATTTTTTTTGTTTCAAGGTCAAAGGCCACTTGGACCCTGTGTCTATGTATTCTTGTACACACGATAAATCAGAAATGTCTGCAGGGAATTTCATTTCATCTGCCACAAATTTCCACTTGAATTTAGGAGGAACTAATTAAAATGTAGTGTTCAATATACCTCTGACCAAAACTGATTTTTGGCCATTACTTAAAAATCCATGTGTTCATCATGACAGCATTTCTTATTGGATAAAGTGACAAAATTTTAAATCCAAAAGGTCATAAGTCAAATCTGGACAGACATGGGTGTAAACTGACACTTGACTGACTGGTGGAGGCATAAAATCAAGAGTTCCTAGTTTTTAATGATTCTGTCAAGCACTTATATTGTCTCGTGTCTGAATGGTGTGATATAAATAAACCTATCTGCTCAGCTTGTGCCAAAGTTGGAAACCAAACATTACCATGTCTGGTCCAATGCAGCTAGCATAGCTGAAAACGCATCTTACCACATTACAGTTCCTCCACGATGTATTCAATAATGGAAAATAGTTGATTGTGAGCACATTTTGCAGACACAGTTGGTGTGTGTGTGCACTGAATAGCCTACATGAAATTAGGCCAAGGTTGAGTGATGTCCGCAGGGAGGAAGGAGTAATCTCTGCCAGGAAAAGAGAACATGTATGGCTCTGAACATGGATCACTAAAAACTATATCCGCAGGCTTTTTACATGAGTTAAACTCCAGGGGTTTGGACAGAGCTGTTGCTGTGTGATGTGGTTTCTCTTTCCCCACACTTACTGGACATGAGCTTGTGTGGTTATAGTGTACGTGATGTACATAAACTGAATGTGTGTTCACTTTTATCGTTTATGTCCCAAATTGCAGACACATACGCTGGAGAAGTGCAGCTTACGAAAGACCTCTCTCGCTGGATTTATTTCTTTCATTCTCACTCACCCTCCCTCTTTATTACTCTGTGTCAACAGTTGCCATGGAAACTATTTTGCTCTTCCTCTCTTCCCTCTTGGTATGTGTGGCTGGTAAGTAACCCCCCCACTCATGAAACGTACATGCAAACACACCCATGCATACAAACACACATGCATGCATGCACGCTCACTGCTTGTCCATAGGGAGGCAGTGTTGGGGCGGGTACTGATGTTTGATGAAAAGACACTCACTGGGTGCGGACACAGGGAAAACATCAATTACTTCTTTTAGGGCTTTAGATGTGGGTTCCACTGTCTGTCTGTGTCCCTGACTGTGTGTGTGAGGTCTCCGTATGCTGTGTGTCTAAGTGTAAACACAAAAAAACAACGTGGCACTGTGATGTTAACTGTTTTTGTGACACTTGAAGTGAAGTGTGTTTCACTCACAGTCTTCTATTTTCTTATCTGTCTCCCCTCTAACACCAACCACTTCCTCTCTTCGCTGCCTCTCAGCTGTAGCAGGCCCCAGTGCACAGGGTAAGTAGCCCTCATGCGGTCTCTAATAGGGTCAGACCTCAGCCTTAACAGCCCCTTAGATGGGTCTCTTGGTTTCCAGATCAGACCTTCAGGGATTGTGGCAGATGTATGGATAGAGCCCAAACATTCCCAGACCTAACTAGAAAGAGATGTGAGAGGGCTGCAGAGATGAGAGCTGGTAGCTTGGCAGGAAAGAGAGTTGATGGTGTCTCTGTATCTGTTAAAAAATGTAGGAAAATTCTCATGTGTAAAGATTTAATTATATTAGTGGTGACAACTACAGTAGCCTATGGTTAAGATTATAGAAATATGGCGGTTAAACTGTGGTAAAGCAGTTAATATATGGTTAACATTTGGAACAAAAAGACTTTAACAAGTTAAGGGAGCATCATGGTTGTGGCCATTGAAAGAGTCAATTCTAAGTTGGTGATTAGAGCTGCTGCATGACCATGGATGTAAATCATGAGGTGCAGATTTTTCTAACATGGACCCAGAAAGGAGGTTTTCACTTGATTTAGCAATTTTTGAAGAAATTGACAGTCTTTGTATCTCTAAAGAAATGTATACAGAACAGACAGCCATGCATGCTGCTACAATTAGTACATCCATGTATGGACGGTACTTGTTATGTTTTATTTTGAAACAAATGTGATTAAATAAAGGATTGGATAGTGTGATTCTTGTTTTATGTTTGTCTTTATTTGATTGTGCCAAGTGTAGAATTATGTCAAATAGTAAATATGAACAAGATTCTGAACTGTAAACTGAAAACTAATTAAAATAATTGCACAAAATTATAAGATCTATTACAACCTGAACATAAGTAAAATTAGTGTTGCTGAAACAATAAAAACAATAGAAGGTAATAGAAGTTCCCAGAATTACCAGAAATTAAATACAGTCAGAAAGTAAACTCGAGTGAATTGGCTTTTCTAGTTAAACTAAAACAGATTTCCAAGTTAAAACAAAAAAACCTTAAGTGTCTCCATTGTCTAACACATTAATGGAGCTACACAACAGAACATCCTAATTGGCCTGAAAAAGACTCTCAATTACACGTAATGACAAAAGAAGCTTACATCATCTAAACAGAGATCTGACTTTACATAACTAATAACTAGTTTTTCCATCAAGATTACATCTGGCTGTGTTAAAAGAGGAAACAGTATTTTCTGACTTAATGTTAGATTTTAAGGCAGCCCTTTTACTCATATTTTTTTAGTTATATTGTACAGTGCATGCATTATACTGCAAACTGTTCAAAAACACCTATTAGCACACTTATTACAGTACCTGAATTTCACAATTGAGACCACAATTAATCACTGGTAAATCATATTACTTGGTATTTCTTAAGAGAAGCTGGCACTTTTGAAAGGGTATCATCTAAAACCAGGGATTTTTTGGAGGTGGCATTTAGCGATGGTTGAAAGCATCGCATTTTAAAATACTCCCACACTGCCTTCAGTCTGAAGCTCTGGTAGTAGCTGCTTGGTATCATTTCACAATTGAACCTAACATAACTACTCCCAAGTTGAAGATGAGTCATCAACAAAAATTTTATGAATTACATGTCGATGATAGAAAAAAAAAAATTTTCTTTAAAAAAAAAACTTAAAATATGTTTTTGACATATATTTAGCACGTAACATGAGATAACTGATTGTCAGATTTTGCAAAGTTCTATTTTTGATTTCACAGTGTGATTCTAAAAGTGTTTGATTTTGTCATACATTTACAGATGGCAAAGAGAAAGAAGAAAATCCTTTCATTTATGGTAAGTTTTTAAAAAAACTTGGAAACATCCTGTCATCAGCACACCATTGAGACATAATGACAGCGTAAGTGCCTAAAAGATCTGTGCAACAAATGATGATGATTGCATTTCTCTCCTTGTGTTCTGTAGACTATGAGAGCCTGAGGGTTGGAGGACTGGCGTTCGCTGTGGTGCTGTTCGCACTGGGCATCCTTCTAATCCTCAGTAAGTGAACTTCTCTACCTTTATGTCTTCATGCGCTCAATATAACTGTGTTACAATTGAATAAAAAAAAAAAAATTGATAAATTAATATAACATTTCTATACTATCTGTGGTGTTTGTGTTATCTTTCTAATCAGGTAACACTGTTAATAGCAGTGATACAGATGATTCATTTAACTAATTAGGCCTCTGAGCATCAGCTAATGACTCCTTATGTTTCTAGGTCGGAGATGCCGCTGCAGTATCAGCCAGAAGCCCAGGTATGTCCCTGTGTGATTGAATAAAAGACTTGTGTTGTGTAAGGTTTTTTTTTTTTCTCAAAACACAATTTGGTAACCATGACAACCTGTGGATCTTCTCTTCAGGGCCCCCGGAGACGAGGAGGCACAGGAGGAGAACCTTATCGTCTCCAAGGGTAAGATACACATTTTAACTCTCTGTCAGTTCTTTCACCTCTGGCTCACCTCCTGACATACATCCATAATTGAGTTTCCCTTTGGGACTAACCCATAGCACAGGGGGGGACTATACCGAGTGCATACAACTTAGATGTAGTTTGAATTACTGCTGACCTTTTTCCAAGGATAAGCTTGATATCATGCCTTCTGATCAGTCTGTTTGAGGTTTCACTTCACTCCAGTACTTCATAAAAATCAGATGGGAAAGACTTGCTGCAGTTTTAAGCAAGAACTGCTTTAAACTGTCTCCCTGTGGCTGCATGTCAGGATGATCCGACTTATAAGATTTCACAGTTGCCAAGCTTTTCAACAACCAAACAAATACGGTATCATTTTTAGAACTTCAATGCACAGCTGTGAGGGCAGTAGTGGAAAAAGTGTTCACATCCTTTTTTTCCATGCAAAAGTTGCAATACCACATTAAAAAAAAGCAACCTTCCCTACGAGTAAAAGACAAGAAATTACTTGACTAAGTGTGAAGTACGATCAGCGAAAAATAATGTACTAAGACGTTTATTGTCCAGGGATTTATATTATTTGCATATATCCTCAAAGTCACTATAGCTGTTTAAAAATGCACAGCAGTAAAAAGGAAGAATATTTTCCTCTCAAATGTAGTGGAGCCGATTAGTAAGCAACCTACTGCTAGATGGTAGTATCCTTTAGAGAAAGGTCAGCAATCACAAGTTATCTACGTTTACTTATCAGCTGTTAGCAGAACTATGAGCATAGTCCTTTGAGTGATTGATTAAGTACAGCAGAGTTAGATTTTATCAAGAAATAGCTGTGGGCAAGTTTAAAGTTTTGCACTTGTGCTTCAACTAAATCACTCGTCCTTGACCTCTTTCAGCTGCAGCGGCTGCCAAAGAGACTCCAGCAGAGGACTGAGGCAACTCCACAGGACCTGACTGCCTTCTGAGACCATGATCAGTTTCCTTTGATATTTTAGCCACAATACCAGTCGCTGACTATTCTAACTGGTTATACAAACGGGGAGGAGGGGGAGGTATACGTTTAGAGGTGTAATATATACATAAATCTTGTGCCTGTTGTTCTTTGTTGTGACCGTGCCAGTCCCTCAGTGCTCTCGTCCATTCCTGTGCCTTTCTGTGACAGTCTCTCACTCCAGTTTGTCGTCTTAGCCAGTAGCACCTTCGACACAGGATTGTCTTTAAAACCCTAGAGGAATTTTTACTGTTGTGTGGTCCGCTGTTCTTCATTTTGTACTTCTATTTATTGCCTTTAGGTTCTAGGATTCGTCCATTTGTTGCTTGTTTTGTCGGCTGTCTTGAATAATGTTTGTCACATTTGGAATATATATGCATATATACAGCAAACATATATAAGTATATATATATATGTATATATAAGTATGGATAGTTTACATATAAGATAAATGGCTAAATATTATTCATTTATGTCTTTGTTTGAATGGTTGGGTGTGTTTGTGTGCACATATGTATGTTTATCCTGTATATGTATGACTGTGTGCACATCACGAGTGCGTGTGTGTATGTGTATGTTTCTACACGAGCCTTACAAGAGACAATCTCCACTGCCACAGCTCTCTGACTTGAGCGCAGGGATGGTTTGCAGGTATCTGCATGGGCTCCTCCACGCCGGTGTTTTACCATCTACAGTGGAGGAAGCTCGTGCGTCAGCTGTCTCACTGCCTTCTTCTCCACATGTCCACTCCACCGCTCCGTCTCTGGCTCCGTCAGGATTAACTAGTCTCCAACAAGGCTATGATTAGTTTCCCTATACACACTCACTTGTGCCGCAAATCTGTGAAGCCAGGGTATCTTTCTTTCCTCTTTGATGTTTGTTTATGAAATTTGCGTAGCCATTCCCTCAAATGCCACAATGTATTGAATGACTGCATAATATGTAGTAAATTACTGACAAAGAGACAAAGTTTAGGTGCTGAGTTTGACAAAAGTGAAACTTAAAATTGATATTATTCATGTGCCAGACTACATTAATAGTAGCCTAATGTAAGCCAAATTATAGAGAGAGAACAGATTATGAGAATCTCCTGTTGGGTCAGACTTGCACCAGTCTTAAGTCTGAGTTCACCTGTTTTAAAGATGACCACTGTACAGTTAAATGCTATGTTCATTCAACGCATGAGGCCTTGTTTGTGTAGCAGCCTGTTGTGCTTTTGGCATTAATAAATAAATGTATATCTGAACACAGAATCATGTCATATTTATTCAATTACAGTCTTCCTCAAATGTTTTCATACCCTTTCATTAAAGAAAAGGCAAAATCCACAATAGTCACTCAAATGACTAGAAACTGAAAAAAGTAGTAATAAAGAAAAATTTGTGAAATTATAATTTAGTAAAATAAGGCATTGCTTATGTATTGTGGTTGATAAGAATAATTTTAAAAAAACAAAAACAAAAAAAACAAGCAAAACTGTCCCGGACAAATTAGAGCACTTTGTTGATGAGCAGTGGACCAAAATCTAAACACCTGTCAACAGGTGCAGAAGTCTGACTGAGAGTTACAGAAAACACTTGATTGCAGTGATTGGCTCAAAGGGTTGTTCAAATAAATATTAGTTTACGGTCCCATCATGCTTTTTTGCTTGTTTGTTTGTTTTAAAAAATATTTCTGTTGAACCACATTTCAAAAGCAATGTCATGATTTTCATTAAATTTTTTATTTTTTATTACTTATGTCAGTTTCAACTTATTTCAGTGACAGCTGTTTTTTTCCCCCTTCTTTAATGGGAGGGTAGAATAAATTTGAGGACGACTGTACACTGCAACTTTTTTTTCTTCAGGAAAAAAAAGAAATTTCCCAAGCCAACCCCTAATATCACTTGACATCAGTTTGGTAATTTCCTGCCGATGTCAGTCAAGGTTGTAATGCTGCTACTTGGAGCTGTGAAACTACATATCAGAAGATGGATTCCTCACCAGGACATCTAGTGATATGCTGCGTTTTCAGGTGTGATTCCAAAGGTTGGCAGATCTTTGCTTTATTGGCATCAGAGTACAAATTTTATGAGACTGTGAATATATAACTGAGCGGCTGGATTGAAATCTGGCTGTGGGCGTGAAGAAATGGTTTTTGTGTGTGTGTGTGTGTGTGTGTGTGTGTGTGCGTGTTAGAGGGTGGATCTTTGTGGTAAGAATTTGGTCTGCACCCGCCCCTAGACAAGGCCACCCGCAAACATACCTGGATAGAGGTGATAGAAAGCCTTCAGCAGCTCAGGTGAGTAATCACTTTCCTCCTTAAATAACCTTAAACAGATTAAACAGTTAGATTAAATGTGCATTTTCTTAAAATCTGTTTGTCGTATGCATCTCAGACATCTAAAAGTTCTGATTTAATGAACTCATTCGATCAAGTTTTTCACTAATACATTACAGTGTGTTTTGGAGGATTTAGCTGATGTCTATTATGTGTGTTTCAGTGTATAATAGGAAATATTGGCATTTTTGCAATGAAAAGTTTACCTTTTATTAAGCATGCTCCTCTATTGTTTAATGCGTCACAATATAAAAGCACATCCGGTCCAATTAATATGTAATAAATATTCTGTCATTGTTGGCAGTTTTCATGTTAACTGCTTACTTTTGGAGAAATCTAATAGAATGGGAAATTGCTGGACTTTAGGGGTGCTGTGGTTTCACTGGGTATCAATTCTTCATTATTAGGCCGCAGCTATTCTTCCTTGCTCCATCTTTTTCCTCTATCAGAGCGTTCAAGGTTCAAGGTTAATGAATATTGGAGCCGTAATACATTAATGAGTAACTGTCCAGTGCGCCCTTATGCTCAGCGGTGCGTTGAAAAAAAGGCTCAGGCACATAATGAATGAAAGAACTGAAGTCCACAATTCACAGTGGCACGCTTGAGGAAAATGGAGACAGCAAGGGAAATTCTTAGTCTGTTAATCTGTGTAAGTTAACGATTATAGGTCAGGAGATGTAGATCAAATGAGAAACGTGCGTGTGTGTGTGTGTGTGTGTGTGTGAGGGATGTAGACAGAAGTGGTAGGGAAAGAGGATCAATATCACCATTAGCCTCTTAAAGTTCTCAGTAAAGATCAAGGCAATCAGGTTGCTATTAGGACTGCAGTAGGCAACCCAGTGAGGCAATTTGTCAGGACATATAGAGTTTCCAGGCCTTTCAACTACTTCTCATCTAAAGTGAATAGGCCGAGTTAAAGGAGCCTTTATAATTCTCTTAACTTTATTAAAAAGTAGGTGCTCCTGAAATCAAATCCACACAACTTTTCACCTACAAGCAAGTTTTCGCATTGCAGACCTGAAGGTGAATATTTTTATTGTCACACAGGTCCCGGTTAGATTATTTAAAACGGCAGGTGTTGATGGGTCACCAGCTGGCAGCTGCTGTTGTCGCTGAGCTTTTGTTAACTGTTTGTATCACGTCCCTCCAGGTTTGTCAGCTGAACACACAAACAGACAAGGCAACATGTCTTCCCCTAAAGGTAAGCTACACAGCAGCCGAACTGCTCATTATCCACAGGCGCCAGCAACACTTTAACATGACACCATTCGAGTGACACAATATTTGCAAGATCACAGCCATCCCTTGCTTTTCTAAATCTGAGTCAGAACCACAAACAGCAATGTGTTAATCATGCACCAGGGTAACGCATGGTTGACTTCTTATTATTAGATTTAGCTTCACATTGGTCACATAAGGTGTCCCCTGAGAGCTTGAAAAAGAAGAGAAAACATGTGGAGTCCTGCAAGCCTCACACTGCCGCCTCTCCTTGCATTTTCAGCAGTCTGCCACAGCTAATCATGCTCACAAAATCCGTACCACTACTGGTTGCAGTGCAGCACGTGTGGCTGTTCGGTAATAAGGTGACATTGCAAGTTAAAGGACTACCCAGAAAATGGAAGACAATAAATACAGGTGCCACTGTAGAGGCAGAAAAACAAGTTGCAATGTTGGAAGCTGATAACAGAATACGCTGCCACTATTTGTGGCAGCATTCGTATTTCCAAAGCCGATTACACTTGAGCCAAGAAGAGCAGGCTGTCTGTGTAAAACACAGCTTCAGTGATAGGACCAGTGCAGAGTATAATCTCATTTCTTAACTTCCTCAGAGTTAGACAGGGAGTCAATCTTTTAACAAGGTGAAAATCAATACATCAGTAAATTAGATCAGTTTAAAAAAAAAAAAAGAGAACACTTGCCACACACAATGAATATTTCATGATAAATATGCAGCAGTGTCTGTACAATGATGCTTCAGCTGGATTTCTACCTTTTTACATTCCTCGTCTCTCCTCAGGTGCAGAAACCGACCTCGATGCAGACTTTGTATATGGTAAGTAAGCACATCTTTAAAAGTGTATCTGCTCAGACAGAACAGCGTAAATATTTAACTTCAGCCAGTGCTCTAAAAAGAAAGAATGTAGAAAGCACGCTCAGGATAAAGTCAGGTCCTGCCAGGACACGTAGAATTTAGATGTGTAAATAAAGTGGGTGTAGAGGTAGGAGGGGAAAAAAAATGAGGAAGAATAGGAGCCAAGAAAAAAGTGAGAAAGAGACTGGAAGAGGAAGAGACAGAAATAGAGGGAAGAGGTGAAAGGGTGTGAAGGAAAGTGAAATCAGAAAATAGGGGTAAAAATGAGAGCGCAATAAGTAGCACAATAACACATTTCATAGGTGTCACTGATGGTGTGGTGATGTGGATTTTTTAGACTACCACACACTGCGTGTTGGAGGCCTGGTCTTTGCCGGGATCATTGTGTTCCTTTCCATCATTCTACTGGCGGGTAAGTCAACAGCGTGCGTTTGCGCTGTGTTTGTATGTTTGTACTACTATAAAGAGTCACAGAGTGAAAATAGAAACAAAAGCACTGACAAACAGATCAACTAAGGTGTGATAGGTGTGTACATGCAGTATCTCACAACTCTGTCTCCATCACGGTTTACCGAAAAGATACGCAATAGTTCTGAGCTTTGAGATGAACTAACCACTCAGTCTCATGTTTTCTTCAGGCAACAAGATCAGAAACTGTGGCAAATCCAAGGTAAGCTCTCTAGTGTGCAACTGCAAAACTATCATCTAGACTTATAGTGACATCAACTGGCCAATATGAGATAATACAAATATTTTAAACCATCAAATCAAGTTTTAACTTCTGCAAGTTAATTGTGACAAGCTAGTCTTAACACCGGATGTTCACATGAGCTAAAATGAAAAATAAACACAGTTTTTGGGTGAAAAATAACCACATCTGTTTGGTTGTCTACAGCCAAGACGCGTTGCAGAGGAAGAATAAAGTGAGCAGAACCAGCCAGGAGCAGAGGGCTGCAGTGTGCAACAATGCTGCCAGCTGTTATGTTGTGTGTAAGAATATAAGGCTTTTGTATGAATAAAACGAATGTAACCACGCTGTGTCTGTGTGCTTCATATCAGTGCTGCTATGAAACACCTGGGTTGTGAAATATTTTGCAAATCTACACAGGTAAATACATAGCACAGAGCAAAACATAAAGACAACATTTAATATTGAATTAAAAGCCAACCATTCCTTTTAACATAGGGGAATAAGTATTTGGTGTTGCAACATGTGGCATCAGTACAACAGAAATGGCTTCATGAAACAACTATGTACTGGGTTGGAAAGTAGAGTGATAGATTGCAACAAGTCAGCAACAAGTGACACATCTGCTACACACAGGGTTAATGAAGTTGTTGGACAGGATCCCTTTGTTGGACACATCCGTCCAGAACATCATGAGGGAGACTGTTTGCGAACTGAATGATTTCTTAGACCACAAATGGTGGAGTTGAAAACATTCAAATGCCTGTCTATGGCCCTAACTGATGTGTGCATGACAACAATCTGTTCTTATCTTTTGTGTGTCATCTGTGGCAACAAGTCATCTGAAAAAGCTGCATTTTAAGGTGGCCTTTTATAGGAAGTGGTCAAATGAGTTTTTGTGTACTGGTGACACGATATGATTTCTGTCCTTTAGAGCCACACCTGACCTTGTTGTGGATTAACTCAGTGGTCAAGAATTAGTCACCAGTTGAACACCTAAAAAAGGTTTTGAGGACAACTGGCTAAATTTAACCCCTTTCCAAGCACAACAACAGAAATGAGATCTTTACCTTTTTCTGTAAGTCAGAAAATGAGACCATTTGCATGTTGCGTTTATATTTTTGTTCACTGTAAATAAGTAAGTCAATAAATAG